CAGTTGCCCACATATACATATATCTATATATATACAAATAACTATCTATCTATCTATCTATCTATCTATCTATCTATCTATCTATATATATGCATGCCTGATTTCAAGACTGACATTAAAAAAATATATATTCTGCACACAGGGTCCAAAGACTAACAGAAAATGTGAGCCAAGTAAGGGATCAGTGGAGAAGCAGAGCCAAAAATCATGTTTCATATTCTGACATTGGTGATATTGATATATTAAGTAAATCTATGAATAATATAAGAGGCCAGCTGTGTTGACTGCAAATGTTCTCTCTTTGACTTTGGTATATTTATAACATTTATTGGTCCAATATATTATATTAGACTTCATTATTGCTTTATAGACCTACATCTCGAGTTGTTTGAGCTCCTGTCATAAATCTTTTCCAGATATGGCAACATTTTAAGGGACAATTGCATTGCAGGTTTTGCATTTGCCTTTAATATCTTTGCTGGCCTCCTTCATTTTGTCTGGAGCAGTTTATCCAGTTAGCTGAATGATTAGGTACACCCAAAAAGGAGGTTACATTGTTTGGGGCTTTAATAAGAGCTTAATCTGACTGTGAAACACAAATAACATACAAAAAATGCTCACTAATAAAAAATATGTTGTCTTACAACTGAAGTTACCGTGACAGAAATAATGGAAGTCGTGTGTATGGATGCAATAAAAGCAGCTTGCATTCATCTCTCCAGGTTACACAGGCGACAGGTTACTAACCCAATAATTTTATTTTATTTTTACTGCTACACAGAAGGCAGAAAATCTAATATTATACAAAATAACTTTTAACACAAGAAATCAAGAAAAAGTTTGAAGCATCAGGAAAACATATGGACATCACCTACAAAAAAGTGTCCTTTCATCGTGCAGTGAGTGAGGAGCCACACTGTATGCTCACCTACAACCACATTTCCACTCTTTATCCCTCGGCTGCAGAATTAGACGAAAAAAACTGCTATGAAGCTTTTTACATTAGTACATGACAGACGGGTGTGACCTGCCTGGACTATTGCCTTACTCAAGTTAATTATGCTACATGTGTGATAGCCGTCCTGTGGGTCTCAGTTAAGAATAGAGTTGAATTTCTGAAAAATATTTTCAGAAATTCAACTTTCAACACAGAGGCCGCTCCATAGCCCACCTCTGAAATGCTGTACTTTAAGCCAAGTGCAGATAACGTGACATCTGTAATTGCTCTTGGTGCCTCTGTTCTGTGTAAAATAGCTGCTTTCTTTAAAAAAAGAAACCCCTATAAAAGTCTAGCTAATCTTCAGCCAGTCTGTTTCCTCCTACATTCACTGAATTTGGCGAGCTCGATGATCCATCACCATT